GCCCCTCGACGCAAGGAATGCAGGGCGGCGCAGGCGAGGGAGGGAGGGCAGGCAGAGACCTGGGAAGACCAGAGACCAGGAAGCGAGAGTGCATGCTACGAAGGCGAGGCAGGGAGGGGTGACCAAGGCGGTGGTGCCACAGGAGAGTGTCGTGCGACAGGCGGCGACACTCACACTGGGTAGCTACCTGAGCAGACGCGTACAGCTGGGGAGACAAAGGGGTGTAGCGTGACGCAGTGGTGAGGGTGTACAGACTGGACCCAGGCGCACGTGTGAACGTGGCCAGGTGACGGCCGGTCCGGGAGCACGTGCAGATCGCCACACGCTGTCCTCCAGGAGTAAAGGTGTCAACCCAGTGATCCTGAAGGACGGCGTTGCTCACCAAGTTCGTAGAGAACGAGGGGAGGTGGAGACCAGACAGCTCACCAGACGGGACCGCCGGACACGGAAGCACAGTGGAAGACCGTGCCAACACTGGGCCCCCAGAGGGGTCAGCCAGCGAGACAGGAACAGGTGCAGGGAGGGGAGTGACTGTGGTGCTGTCGCGAAAGAAATAGCGGGAAGCACCAGAGTCAAGTGTGAAGGTGTGCAAGGCCTGTGTGGACGCAGTACCAAGGGGAGCACCTTGTGCCACAGGCGCTATACCTGGGGCTATACCGGGGTCAGGCGGCACACACAAGTAGCAGTCACCCTCAGCACTAACAGTCAATGCATACATGGCAGCAAGAATAGCCTCATAGTCAAGATCAAAAATAGGTACATCACGCCTAAGCAGGTCTGCCCAGTTGGGGAACTCAGTAGCATCAGGAAACTTGACGCGCCAGGCGTCGCTAAGCCGAGCGAAGCAGTGGCACTCAGTGTGAAACCCTGTGCACTGGCGACCAGCGCGGGGACCTGCGCGAATGATATAGGGGCAGCGACCAGGACCCCCAGACGCCCCACGCCCGGCATACCAGTCAAGAAGCTGCTGGGAAGTGGGGGTCTGGCGCTGACGCTGCTGCGGCTGCTGCTGCTGCTGTCCCTGGCCACCACCGGCCTCACCCAAGCCCCCACCACCGCCGCCACCACCACTCCCCCCTCCGCAACCACCGCCGCCGCCACCACCACTACTCCCGGCACCACCACCGCCCCCACCACTACCTCCACCCCCACGACCACCGCCACTACCTCCACCGCCCCCGCCGCCTCCACCACCGCCCCCTCCACCGCCACGTCCGCCACCCCTGCCACCCTTGCCCGCCCTGAAGCCGCTGCGCTTTCCACTCGGAGCGGAAGCATCTGCGACCTTCTCAGCACCAAGGAGGTCGACAACAGCAGCTGCGGAGGCGTAGGAGGGGGTAAGAGGGGAGGGGGAGCACCCCTCAAAGAGGGGAGTGCGGGGAGTACCACGAGCAGCACCTACAGCTAGAATATTCTTCTCGGCTGCTAGGAGGTGCTTCTCGAGGTCGTCGACAGTGAGAGAATGGGGGTCAAGGGCGAGGAAGTGGTCCCTGACTGAGCGAAGAGTGTCAGGGAGGCGGGTGATGAGGAAGTAGAGAGTAAAGTACATCGGGGGGTGGTTCTCTGCGAGGAACTCGGCTGGAAGGGCGGCACGAAGGCGAGTGTCACTAGCGCGTAGGTGAGAGATGAGGTCCTCAGCGGTGGTAAATGAGGACAGGTCGGGGAACAGGTAGGGTAGCATAAGTCGATTGAGGGCTGCAGTGGCCGGGGAAGAGTAGCGGGCAACTACAGCGTCGTACAGTGCCTTGGCAGTCTTGTGCTGGCTAAAATGCGCGCGCTCTGTGATCGGCAGATGGTTGCGAATAGCTAGGCGTGCAGCAGCATCGCGGGTCTGCCACTGGGAGCGGTCTAGAGCAGGCTCAGTGTCAGTAGGAGCAACGGCAGTGCCAGACACGTAATCGAACAGGGAAACACCGTCCTTGGCATCAGTCAGAAGGAACAGTTGCAGGTCGTCGAGCCAGGTGGCGAACTCTACTGGACGACCGTCAGGATCGAAAGCGAGCACATTAAGCGTCGCCATAGTAGCAGTGCAGGCAAGGCAGCGGAGATGGCGCGCAGGGCAAGCAAACGCGCGCAGTAGGGAGGCACGCGCGGCAGGAAAGGCGCTCAAGGCGAGCAGGCGCACTTGGCAGGCAGGCGCTCTATGCAGGCAGGCGCTCAAGGCAGGCAGGCGCTCAAGGCAGGCAGGCGCTCTTGGCAGGCATGCGCACAATGCAGGCACTCCTGGCAGGCGCTTAAGACAGGCAGGCGCGCGGCTCACGGGCGGCGCACGCTCGGCTGCGGGCTGCGCGCGGCTGCGGGCTGCACGTGGCTGCTGGCTGCGCGTGGCGACTGGCTGCGCGCGGCTGCGGGCTGCGTGCTGCGGCGGGCTGCGCGGGCAGGGCCTAAGCAGGCTGCGCGCGGGCGGCATAAGCGGCGCGCGGGCCGGCAGCAGGCTGTGCGGGCGGCTGAACCGGCGCGCGGGGCCGAAAACAGGCTGCGCGGGCTACTTAAGCGGCGCGCGCGGGAAAAAAAAAAAAGGGCCGCGCGCGTGCAGCCGAGGCGCGCGCGGGCAGCAGGCAAGGCAGGCAGGCAGGCAAGGCCATAGGTGAGGTAACGCGGTAACCGGTGGGCCCTAATCTTAGGTCCTAAAGACCTATTGCTCTAGATACCATCTTAGAAACTTAGGCATGGGAGGTTGGACTATCGAGAGAATGGTACAAGGAGAAAACCCTAAGGGGTTATACCCCACAGTATCTACCCCACTACAGCCTACCCACAAATATAACATATAACATATGTTTGACAAGATCGTAGGGTTAAGTTTTTTTGAGGTACCAGCACTGAAAATCATTGTTGAATGCAAATAACAATTCATGATAAAGTTGCATGAGAACATATTACGCTCTTAGCTAGCCATGCACTATAACAGGTACATACCGTACCATTATTCTAGAACTGTATTGCTGTCTCAATAGAGTCGCTATTGCACTGTACCATAGCGTACCATTATTCTAGAACCGTACCACCCCCCTCCCCCACCAAACACACACATACACACACACACACACACACACACACACACACACACACACACACACACACACACACACACACACACACACACACACACACACACACACACACACACACACACACACACACACACACACACACACACACACACACACACACACACACACACACACACACACACACACACACACACACACACACACACACACACACACACACACACACACACACACACACACACACACACACACACACACACACACACACACACACACACACACACACACACACACACACACACACACACACACACACACACACACACACACACACACACACACACACACACACACACACACACACACACACACACACACACACACACACACACACACACACACACACACACACACACACACACACACACACACACACACACACACACACACACACACACACACACACACACACACACACACACACACACACACACACACACACACACACACACACACACACACACACACACACACACACACACACACACACACACACACACACACACACACACACACACACACACACACACACACACACACACACACACACACACACACACACACACACACACACACACACACACACACACACACACACACACACACACACACACACACACACACACACACACACACACACACACACACACACACACACACACACACACACACAACACACACACACACACACACACACACACACACACACACACACACACACACACACACACACACACACACACACACACACACACACACACACACACACACACACACACACACACACACACACACACACACACACACACACACACACACACACACACACACACACACACACACACACACACACACACACACACACACACACACACACACACACACACACACACACACACACACACACACACACACACACACACACACACACACACACACACACACACACACACACACACACACACACACACACACACACACACACACACACACACACACACACACACACACACACACACACACACACACACACACACACACACACACACACACACACACACACACACACACACACACACACACACACACACACACACACACACACACACACACACACACACACACACACACACACACACACACACACACACACACACACACACACACACCACACACACACACACACACACACACACACACACACACACACACACACACACACACACACACACACACACACACACACACACACACACACACACACACACACACACACACACACACACACACACACACACACACACACACACACACACACACACACACACACACACACACACACACACACACACACACACACACACACACACACACACACACACACACACACACACACACACACACACACACACACACACACACACACACACACACACACACACACACACACACACACACACACACACACACACACACACACACACACACACACACACACACACACACACACACACACACACACACACACACACACACACACACACACACACACACACACACACACACACACACACACACACACACACACACACACACACACACACACACACACACACACACTATACCAACATCGGAAAACACGCCCTCGGGTGCATAAGGCGCCAGGCACCAATCTCTAGCGTTGAGTAGAGAAGAAGCGCTTAGCAACGAGAACTAGCTTAAAAGGCACTTAATTGAGCGTCTTCATTCGGGCCAGGTGGTCCTGGTTGATGATGAGAGAACATAAACACACACCAGAGGGAACCGTTAATGAGATGGATGGCCTTGGGAACAAACTAGACTGCATAGTAAGCACTGTGAGAGACAAAGTGTTCATTGATATATGTATGACAAAATGTCAGCTGCTGAATGAGATTGGCCACTCACGTATTTGCTCTCGCAGCCATAGAATCACCGGTTGTTGCCCGACAAGTCCGTATTCCCCAGATGCAATAATCATCAGTGTATAGCTCGACGCTAGCACATCCCTTAGTACCACCGATGTTCTCCAGTGCGTACAAAGTCTTGTAGTTCCCAGCCACCTCCTTTGGGTATTGATTGCATCCACTTTTTAAGCGGAAGGTGTAGGGCTTGGACGCCGTGCCGCTGGCACTACGGTCCTGGATGAGTGTGATACTGCTGGCGACCACTTGGTCAGGTGCCCCTGAGAATGGATGGTACAAGGAGCAGGGGAAATGAAAGGATGAGAGGGAACAAGGAAAGGGCATGATGCCATGAGAGAACAAAGCGATGAAAGAAGAACGATTTGAACAACGGAAAGGACAGTGAAGCCTAACGGCTAACACACGTCCAAGTTGAAGCTACTGTTACACTCCAAGCTGGAAAAACAAAACGTTTCCAGCATGGGGTCATGGCTTCAGGTTGAGCGGCTCTCTATTCAGGATCCCGTCACCACGCTACTCCACCTTTGAAGTGCCTCAAGTTGAGAGGCTCTCCTTTTTGACACCGTGCTACCCCACCTGGTCAGCCCACAATATTTGAAGCATCTCAAGATCTCAAGATGCCTCAAAGCTCTCAGCTTCATGGTCCGCCACCGCTCCCCCTCGTCAGCTTTCATCCAACACTACGGAGTCAGTGAGTCACCGTGCACAGAGCCGCGTGCAGCATGTGATCAAAGAAGAGGAAGCAGATGGGGTGCAGCTGAATCTTACCCTCCTTGCATTCTGTTGCGGTCATCCCAAAGCCCTTAGGGCACTCGCAGTATGGCACGTCAGCCTCTTCAATAAAAGATGTGTGGACAGTCTTGCAAGTGGCTCCAGTGGGGCATGTGCCACAGGGTGAGTCTGAGCAATACAGCAAGCAGGGGAGGCATAGCGCATGGCGGAGAGATGGTGAAATGAGCACAGCAAATGGGCCAAATGCACAAGAATGTTGAATGGAGCCAGCAGCAAAGGGGGCAGCTGCAAGAAATGATAGATCTAGAGACGAATGAGTGCGGATGGGTTGGGTTGGGTGGGTGTAAAGAAAGCTGGAAACCATGCTTACTCCATTTGCAAGAGCGAACTCCATTGGTACTAATCACGCAAACCCCATCTGGTTCACAACCCAACGCGGCACAAGCCATGTCTGTTGTGCGTGCACGGACAGATGGGGTGGAAGAAAGGGAAAAGGAAAAATTGACATACATGGCCGCAGAGTCAGATATGCGCAATCTGCAAGAAACTTGAGTTGGGGGGAGGACAAGTTTTAGGGACTGGTTCTGAGGCGCCTCAAAACTAGAACATGCAAGGAAGTTGTGTTGAGGGGAGGCCAAGTTCTGAGGACTGTGTTTCAAATGCAAGGGATGTGCCCTGTGTTGCACTCCTCCAACTCACCAATGCAAGAGAGCCCGTCAGACGACGGCTTAAAGCCCGTGTTGCAACTACAGGATGGATTGCCGTTCGAATCCCTTGTGCAGTTGCCGCCAGTGCCACAATTCACCGCATCACAGTTGTCTGTAAAAAAAAAAAGGGCCAAAGCAAATGGAAGGATATTTATATATCAAGATTGGGTATGCACACAGTTCAGTAACTCTTGCAAGAAAGTTGAAAGAATAGGCGAAGTTTCAAGAACTCTTTGGTAAAGCAAGACACTCTGTGCTTCCCCCAACTCACCAATGCAAGTGAGCGCATCAGAAGACGGCTTAAAGCCCAAGTTGCAACTACAGGATGGATTTCCGTTTGCATCCATCGTGCAGTTGCCGCCAGGCCCACAATTCAGTCTAGCACAGTTATCTGAAAAAAAAAAGAGGCAATGAAGGGTCACAGAATAAAATTGGCACGGGATCAGCAAGTCTTACACGAGAATTGAAAGGTGGCCAAGATTGATGGACCGGGATTGAAACGCAAAGAATGCACTCTGTGCTGCCCTTCCCTAACTCACTAATGCAAGACAGCGAGTCAGATGACGGCTTAAAGCCGATGCTGCAACTGCAGGATGGCTTTCCATTGGCATCCTTCGTGCAATTGCCTCCAGACCCACAATCAACCGCAGCACACAAGTCTGCAAAACAAGAGGGTTTGAGGGAGTTGAGAGAGGAGGCCAAGTCTCAAAGACTGGGTGCGAAACGCATCATTTGCGCAGTTGCCTCTGGGCACACAAGTCTCCTCAGCACACAAGTCTCCTCAGCACACAAGTCTCCTCAGCACACAAGTCACCTCAGCACACAAGTCTGCGAGGAAAAGGATGCAGAGAAAGGGAATGATGCAGAGAAAGGGAATGATGCAGAGAAAGGGAATGATGCAGAGAAAGGGAATGATGCAGAGAAAGGGAATGATGCAGAGAAAGGGGATGATGCAGAGAAAGGGAATGATGAAGAGAAAGGGAATGATGCAGAGAAAGGGAATGATGCAGAGAAAGGGGATGATGCAGAGAAAGGGAATGATGCAGAGAAAGGGAATGATGCAGAGAAAGGGAATGATGCAGAGAAAGGGAATGATGCAAAGAAAGGGAATGATGCAGAGAAAGGGGATGATGGGTTTTGACACTTACATAAGGTATATAACAAATAAATCAGCCGTTGGTGAATGGTGCAACTCTCACTCCCCTGCTTAACCAAAGTGTGACTGTCAGGATTCACTTACACCCTTAACCGGGTAGCCGTAATGTCCCTGTGTAGCAGTGTTCCTAGGCAAGTGCCGTTGACGGCAGCAAAGCCGTGGTTGCATGCACAGGTGAGCGAGAGAGCAGGAGAGACGAGACGAGGACAGTCGAGAGGGTTTCACTAGAAGCGTACCTTAGCAAGTGCCGTTGACGGCAGCAAAGCCGTGGTTGCATGCACAGGTGGGTGGAGAGAATAGGAGAGGCAAGGAGGTTTCATGAGCAGCGTACCTAGGCAAGTGCCTTTTTTGGAAGCATCAGTAGCAGCATACCTTGGCAAGTGCCGTTGATTGCAGCAAAGCCCGGGTTGCATGGACAGGTGACGCCCTTGCTGTCAGTCGTTGGCATGCACGTGGAGTTGGCGGGACACGTGGCGTGCTGGCAGGTGATTTCTGGCAGCATGGGGTGAGAAGAGACACGTCGGTAACAAAGAGACACGTGGGTAGCAAAGACACGTGAGGTTCAAGCAAAACTATACGCGGCGTGGAGATTCGAGCAATGTGTGCCGGCAGGTGGGGTGTGCAAGCACAAGGGACCAGAGAGATGCGGTGTGGCTGGTGAAAGATGTGTGGAGCGTGGTGCCGCATGATGCATGCCGCATGATGAGTGCCGCACAATGCATGCCGCATGATGCATGCCGCATGATGCGTGCCAGCATGGGGGATTGCCAGAGATGAAAAAGCACACGCCAGAGAAGCTCTCCCTCACATAGAAGGGATGAGATGTGTGTGGAACGGGTGGCAAGGAGGAAAGAAGGCAATGAGGCAGGGAGGCAAGAAGGCAAAGAGGCAAGGAGGCAGGGAGGCAAGGCACGCACAACACTTGCAGGAAACGGAAGTCCATCGGGGAATCTTCTTTGCGCTGCACGCAGGGACGGCAGTAACACATTTAGATGAAACATGAGAAACACATAAAAATGAGATGTTACGTCAGAGCGGCACAAGCAGCGGCTTATGTCTGTGAATCACAGACTGTGGCATGGGTAGAGGACACTCACTCCCCCGCCCCCATCACGCACCCATGGCCCACCTGTCACTACTGGCCATGACCCACAATAACCCATGACCCACCTGGGCACGTGGAAGAATCTCCTCAGAGCGGCAAACTGCGGCTGCAGCACCTCATCCAGCGCCTTGCCCTTGCAGGCCGGGTTGGCAAAAAACTTGAGTTGCTTGCATGCCGCACCCCCACCCTTGCCATACGAACCGCCGCCGCCCGTGCCACCACCGCTGCCGCCCCTGCCGCCGCCCATGAGCCCGTGCCACCACACCTGCACGTCACCCGCCGCCTTGCGCGCCGCCCGGGGAAGGCTGAAGCAGCGGAGGGCGTCGAAGCTGACGGGGAAGCTCACGCCCGGCACCGTGACCACAGTTGCCACCCGCACCCTCGTCTCCACCACACCGCCTGTGGTGCTGCCCACGCCCACGCCCACGCCCACGCCCACCTGCATGCTCTGATTCCCGCTTCCTGCACTGGTCTCCCCTGCTGCCATGTTAGCCGTGGCGAGCGCTGGAGGGGTGAGAGGGAGCAGAGGGGTGGGAGGATGGAGAGAATGTGCGCTCTTTTCTGAATTTTAGAGACAAGCACACAGATTGAAGAAACCCTTAGAAACGACCAAGAGAGAGGAACTGCTACGGCAAGGAGAGCGGAACGACTCACCGCAGATGACGGCGAGGAAGAGGAGCCGAAGCAGCGCGGCAGGAGAGGCGGCCATGATGGCGGTCAAGCTGCCACGTCAGGTGGATTTGAGATAATTCTTGTGGTGCGCCGCTGCCAACGTGGTGCGTCGCTGCCAATGTAGTGTTGTACGGCGGCACGGCGCGCTGAGAGTGCTCCCAAGTCGACAGGCTCTCAGGTGGCGCTAGTCGCACGAGTGAGTCGCACGCAATGAGTACTGGAATGACAGGGAAGATGGCTCTGAATGGCTGGTACAAGGCGTTGCAATGCTGCAGCTGATACAAACAGGTACCACTAGCTACAGCTAGCGGTATAGCTGGAGATAAGGTAGTGGTATAGCAGCTGGCGTTACTATCAAAAAGCACGAGGAAATGGCACGGAAGCGGCGGAGGAAAAAATGCTTCCATAGCTGCTCGGGCGGGTGCTTTAGAGAAAGGATCGGACGCTCCCGCAATTGCCAGAGGCTGATAGTGCAGAACGAGGCGCTAGGAACGCGATCGGTGGTGTCTAATTGGCGGTTTCGCTCTTCTAAGGGAGTTTAATTTCGATGCGAAATCCTGCGGCGTGCTGCATTGCGAAGGCCAACGCCACCCAGAAACAGGGCGACCGACTCAGCAGTCGCATGCAACGTCGCAACATGCTGCTGGATTCAGCAACATTCGCTTGCCCTGTCGCTCTGCCTGGTGAAGGACGAGCGAAGCCACAGGAAATGAATCCGCGGCAGAAATGAATTATCGGTGCGGCCATTTTCAGGTGCATGCAACTTAGTCGAGGCGCGCTATTCAGGTGCATGCCAGGTTGCGTACACTATTCTCAGGTTAAACTATGTCTCTCGTAATTTCACACGCTGTTCAAGATTCGATTAAAATTGGCACAAAAGGTCTGAAATAGATTCGTTCGAAAAGAGTTGGTGCGAAGCAAAAATTTGCGTAGAAATTGGGCAGAAATGCAATCATTGCACTGAGTGACGTCAGAAAATGCTGCATCGAGAGCCAACCATTCCGATCCCGATTTACGTAGCCCGAAATTGCATCTATTTCAGACCTTTTGTGCCAAATTTAATCGAATCTTGAACAACGTATGAAATTACGAGTGACATTTTTTTTTTTTTTTTGTAATTGATATATACACCAAGTACAGCAGATGTATACAGCAATAACAGTCGTAACTGTGCGTGAGGGGCAGCTACGTGGCTACCCCAGATTGACAACTATGGTGGTCTGTGATTGTTCCTCGGCAGCTGCCAGATGGCAGCAAACGCACTGTTCCACTTCCACTTCTTGCTGCTACTGTCCCTCAGTTTATCTACCAATCTTATCTCCTCCTCTCTTGCACGCCGAAACGATCCCTTCTTGTCCGTAGCCACCCGCCTCCTTCGTACATCCTCCTTTGCCCGCATGTACACCCTTGCATGTTGCCGGAAAGCCAGCTCAATCCTCCTCAACACCCGTTTCGTCCTGAACCTCCGCCCTCTGAAAGCAGCTTCACAGCGCTCCAACCACACCTGGTGGAGTGTGATGGCAATTATTGTCGCTTCTGGAAATGCTGAGCTGGAGCATGGCTTCTTGAAGAGAAGGTCCCCTTGCGACGAAATCGACCTCGAGCTGTTGATCATACGAAGAGCCCGTTTGAGTGCTGTAATCACCGCCTGGATTTTGGGGCAGTCGTAGAGGCAATGTTCCAAAGTCTCCTCTCCCCCACTATGCGGGCATTTCGGTTGTCCACTTAGAAATGACAGTCGTTCCCCCACCTGTAGGTTAAGGTTATGCACCCTTAACAAAACATCCCTTGGCCTGCTTGGAGTAGCCAGGGACTCTCTGACCGAGATTGCCCTTTTCCAATCAATCTTCCCATTCCACCTGCCCGACCACTGTTGCTGCTTCACTGATGCCTTCTGCCCTTTCTTCCACAGCTTTTTCAGCTGCCTCATCGGCACCACCTTCCCCTTCTCAAAGATCGGTAGAAGCGTGAAATCTCTTCCAGGCGGGATGTATCTCCTGCGATGAGAGCCAACCGTGCTAGGGTTTGATTGCTCTCTGTAGGAACCGTCTAGCAGCAGAGTCCGCCATGTCTCAGGAGCCGCTTCGAAGGCCTTCAGTGCCAGCCTAGCTGGTCCTTTCCCCCCCAGCTCCTTCTCCAGTGACTCCATCCCTCTTAGCGTGGGAACTCCTTCCTTGTCGTAGCTGATCAAGTGTCCCAGCCTCATCTCCCACAAAGGTTTCGCGTCCTTCTGTCCTCCAACCGGTGTGGACCCCCTGAGGAGAATACGCTTGTTAAACACTATCCGCTCTCCCTCCGCAGCCTCTCGAGTAACAATCTCCGGCAGCTCCCCCAGCGGCGACTTCATAAAATTTTCGCACGCAATTTTCCACCGAGCACTACGTCCTTCCCATCGCCGCAGTAGTTTATCATGCGCGAAAAAGGACTCAATGCCCATAGGAAGCTCAGCCGCCCACATCATGATCTCTTTCTTGAGCACGTTCTTCTCCGTGATCAGCAGCCCCACCCTCCTTGCCGAGAGACAAGCAAGGATCATCTCCGGGTCACATACTCCAACTCCCCCATCCTCCCTTGACGTGTGTAGGAGATCCTTGCTCCACAACCGGAACACCCTGTCAGCCGTTGCCTTGTTCCCGGATACAAAGTTCTGGAACGTCTTGGAGAGCGCATTCCAGGTTACTGGCGGCGGCGGATATACTTGCGTCTGGAACGCCACCACCGACATAGAGTAGCCGTTCACCACCGCCGCTCTCGCCTTCGTCGGAAGATAAATTTTCTCCCATGTTTTAAGTTTTCCGACCACGCTTGCCCCCGCCTTCTCCCACGTTGGCTGACACCTTCCTGCCGGTGTTACCCAAATCCCCAGCAGTCTCTCTGCCTCATCCGCTCCCGCCCAACGGAAACTCTGTGGTCTGCATGAGTGCCTGTGCAGGTTATCGCCCAGCGGCAGGATGACTGACTTTTCCACATTCGTCTCCAGCCCCGAGGTAAGCTTAAACTTCTCCAGTACCTTCTCCGCCTTAATGATTTGCTCCTTCCCCTCCAGAATCAGTGTGGTGTCGTCAGCATACCCGATATACGAGAGATGCTCGTCCGCCTTGCTGAGCCCCAGCTTTTTCCGCCACACCTCTTGCGCCAACGGTTCTACTGCGCAGAGGAACAGGTATGGAGCAAGCGGGCATCCCTGCCTTACCCCAGATAGTACTTCCACTCCATCTCCGAACCATCCGTTTATTAACAGCCGCGTCTGTGTTCCCTTGTGCAGACCTTCGACCCAGCCAACCAGCCGCTCCGAAAAAACCCATCTCCCTCAAGATTTTGAAGGTATAGTCTCTCGACACCAAATCATATGCCTTCTTGAAGTCAACGAGTAACAGAAACCAGTCCTTATTCTTGTTCCGAGCCGCATCAATCACATCGGCGAACAATCCCACTGCGTCCGTGAGTCTTCTCCCCGGCAGGAATCCGTACTGCTCCTCTGAAATCACCTTTCCCATCACCTTCTTCATTCTGTCAGCAATCACCCTCGCCAGCACTTTGTAACTGAAGTTTAGAAGAGTTATCGGTCTATAATTATTCAACTGATCCTTGTCCCCCTTCTTGTGCAGGAGTATCGTAACGGCTTCTTTGACATCGGTGGAGAGTGAAGCAGAAGCCGCGAAGTCCTTCGCCATTGCCATAAATCCTTTGCCCAGCAGGTCCCAGTGTGCTTCAAATAGTTCTTTCGGCAACCCATCCTTTCCAGGTGATTTGTTAGCCGCCATCGCTCCAAAGGCTGCCTTCACCTCTTCTTCTGTCCAGTCAGCTGCCAGCTCCTCTGCGTCCCACTTCTCCAGCTTTTTCCCTTTTATCGGCTTCCAGTTCTCCTTAAGACGGCATCTGTCTTCTCCGAAAATACCCGCGAAGAAAGCCGATGCTGCCTCCAAGATCCCTTTAGAGTCCGAGACTGCGCCGCTCGCTGTCTGTAACTCCGCGATTTGCGTGCTTTCCTTCCTCGCCTTTACCATTGCTGACAGATGCGGGGACGGCATTTCACCGGTGAGCTCCACCCGTAGTCCCGTCATCAGCTGCACCCGGTCCTTCTTAGCCGCATGGTACTCTTTAAGCTGCACCTCTTTTTCTGCTAGCAGCATCATCGTACGTGAGCAGGCCGGATTTCTCATTGATTCTTGCCGAAGCTCCGCCACCATATCGACCAGATGTGAGACCGTGGCTTTAACTCTTTTTCCCTCCTCCTTCATGTACGCGCGTAGCCCAACACCAAGCCGGGTGAGTAGTAACTCAAAACTGCTGCCATCTGACACCGTCACCTTCTCCACCGTCGCCTCTACGATTCTCCTGACTCCCCTTCTTCGAACCATTGACGCGTGCAGTCTCCACATCCCTGGACCAATTCGGATCTGATCATCCGTCCTCAGCGCCACCCTCACCGCAAAACAGTGGTCAGATATGTACTCTTCTGGCATGATGTGTGAGGCTTGGGTTAAGTGAGGTAAGAGAGAGTGAGATAGTAACGCTCGATCTATCCTCGTACTGGCTTTTTTCGCTTGTGAGTAAAAGGTGAACTCCCTTTTTGACGGGTACAGTGTTCTAAAGGCGTCAGATAACTGAAACTGGCTGCACCGATTATAAAGGGCCGCTGTTCCTAACTGCGATGACTTATCTAGGAGAGGATCCTCTATTGTGTTCAGGTCTCCCATGATGAGCAGGTGCGACGATGGCTGGATTGAGTATACCATGGGACCTAAAACGGATCTAAGGAAAGCAGCTCTGGAGGTCGGATCTGCAGGAAAGTAACACGCTAAGATGGTAATGTTAATGCCTGTACCAAGAATCTCTGCCTGAATGACTCTACCGGAGGGGTGGACTACGATGTTGCGGAATCTAAGCGCCGGCTGCCTACATATCACCGCTACTCCACCAGCCTTGGCTTGAGCCGTGGTGGCTGCTACAAAGGTAAACGACGGGTGTGCCCAGAAGGAGTGTGAGGCGTCTAGTCTAGTGTCTGAGAGAACTATAATATCGGCAGCCTTCCTGAACCAGTCTTTAACACGCTGTTGTTTAGTGCCGTCACCAAGGCCGTTGACGTTCAGGCCCGCAAATGTGATGCGGTTTTTCTTACTCATTTAATCACTGCTTGCGAACCCCTACGCATCCACAGGGTGAAAAGACAGGTACCTCCTACTACTGCAAGAAATACAGCCGCTGTTGCTGCGCATCGACCGATGCTCTCCAACTCCCTCAGAAGCCGTACTCTTTCCGGACAATGGTGAGGTTGGCTTTCTCTAATGACACACGAGTAGCAGTTCCGAACTTCTCCAGATGCAGCATGTGAGCGGCAGAGGCAACATGGTCCGAGGCAGTCATAAAGCTCTTCCCCTTCGCCTTTCCGCATCCGTCTTGAGTACAAACCCACTCCTCCCTGTTGCTTCCAGTCGAGATCAGAGCTATGGCCGGATCTTGCAAGAGAGGAAGGATAAGCGGGGTGGCTTTCAGGGATTGGGCTGCGAGGTCAAACAAATCGTCAGCAAGAGATAAGCAAGGCACGTAAGGATCTGTAAGTACTGGACAGCTGAAGGCATTACCGTTGAGCTTGTGCACTTTTCTGAGCGTCAGATTCCATTTACCCACGTTGTGCTGCCTCTCAACCGTGAAGACGTCATGATATTTGTCATGATGCTGACCGTCACAAAGGGAGCAGGAGACCGCAGGATAATGAACCAGGATCTTCTTCGTGCGGTCAGCAGGATCCGGGACAGCATGAATCCAACGGCGACGGTCACCAGGGTACGCGTAGACCAAGCCTTTGACGACGTCAGTATCAGCACCGGTAACTGGGTGAAGGACACGGTGGAAATTGGAGCTCCGTGCGAAAGCAGGACGCTTGGTCGACTTCAGCGGGTAGGTTGACATCCGTTCCACCAGCAGGTCAGGGTCAATCACTGCCGACACTCCCTTGAAGATCACCTCAATCGCCTGCGGATGAAGTGCCTTCTCACGTGCGAAGAGCACGTTCTCCGTGTGCTGCCAGTGGAGCTTCACCAGGTTCCCATTCAACTGCTGATACATGTCAGAAGAGTAGATTAATCTTAGGCGCCATGGCTAGGTTTTTAGGAAGACGAGAGTAGCGAGGGAGAAGTTTCACCAACAAAAGGGGTTGTTCACTATAGAGCGAGCAGTACAAATAAGCAAGAATGAAGAAAGGTGCACCACCAAACAGAAATTTATATGACTACAGTATTCTACACTACAGGCAGTTATAGAACAATATATAGAATTATATATTATTCTGACACGCCCCCATAAGTGCCTGTAGGGAAGAATGTGCAGTCAACGCCCCCATAATGGGGTACACAAGACAGGCCGCAGCGGAAATCACAGCAACAGGCAAGTGCAGTGGCAACCGGTGCAGTGATGGCAGATCCAGCTGTACCAACCCCTCAGCCAAGGCAGAAACAGTAGCAGGTGTAGGGGCGGCAGGTCGCCTGAGGAGCAGGCTCTGTGGCTGCAACGTGCAGCAGGACATCAGCGGCTCGACGGCAGCACCTGCAGGCCCCTAGCAGCAGGCAGCAGAAGCAAAGGCAGTAAAGGTAGGTGGCAGCAGGGGCGGCAGCTGGAGGTGCCACGGTAGCAACGGGCGTCAGCAGTAGATGCCCGGCTGACTTCCGCCACCCCCTCTCACCCTCCCCCCCACAGCTGCAAGCGCGGCAGTGAGAGAGAGAGGAGGGGGGACGGCTGTTGGTGCTGCAAAATCTCTCTCGCCACCCCCTCACACTCCCCCCCATCCCCCACAGCGACCGGCGCTGCAGGGAGAGAGAGGAGAGAGGAGGGCGTCAGCGGTTTCCTGAGGGTGCGCTCCCGCCACTCCCTCACCCTCCCCCCCACAGCGACAGTCGCGTATGGGGCGATAAAGGGCGACGGCAGGTGCTGCTGGCGGCTCACAGCAGCCACCCCGTCACACCACCTCCCCCACTGCCCGCCACGCCCACGACCTCCCCCCACAGCAGGAGCACGCACGACAGTAGCAAGTGCGACAGCTGCAGCGGGACCGGGGGGAGGGTGGGCGGGGACAGTTGCTCGAGCGCGACGAGCGGGACAGAGGGCCGAAACGGAGGCGAGACGAAGTGGCGACGGGGCAGCGTGGCCGCGAACGACGGGGCGACTAGGCAGCGCGACGAGCAGAGCGCCGCCTTCGCCCCGTCGATCGCGCAGACGATTATGACCGTCGCGGATTTCAACGCGACGGTCGCACTGGCGGCACGATCGCAGCAGAAAATCGTTGGGAGGGAGGGCCGCCATGACAGGGTCAAAAATCGGTGGGCCCATTGATCGAAAACTAGCTCGATACCATGTCAGAAGAGTAGATTAATCTTAGGCGCCATGGCTAGGTTTTTAGGAAGACGAGAGTAGCGAGGGAGAAGTTTCACCAACAAAAGGGGTTGTTCACTATAGAGCGAGCAGTACAAATAAGCAAGAATGAAGAAAGGTGCACCACCAAACAGAAATTTATATGACTACAGTATTCTACACTACAGGCAGTTATAGAACAATATATAGAATTATATATTATTCTGACAGTACACCACCTCCTTCCTCATAACTGTTTCCACATCCCTGTCCAGCAGGAAGGAGATCTGCAGGCGGCAGTAACGAACTTTCGCGATATATGATGGCTGCAGCACCTGAAACTTAGCCGTGGACAAAGCGTTAACTGACAGTTCAGCGTACCACCCACGCTTCATCAGCATTTTAACGGCATCAATCACACAAGCGACTTCCTGACTGAGAATAAAGGGAAGTAGCAGAATAGCCGTAGAGCGCAGCCTGGACTCGTCCTCCTTGACCGTAACAACATCCATCTCGTCATCAGTGTCCTCATCGTCATAGTCTTCCACAGCATCAGTTGATTGCAGCCTTGACTGATCCATTTTTGCCTTCTCTTCCATAGATAAGCCTGAGCTTCCAGCGACTGGCTCATTGACGACTGTTGCCTCTTCATTGATCCCTCCCTTCGCAGGAACAGTATCATTAACGGCAGCAGCATCGTCGTTAGCCGTGACAACAGGGGTGTCAACCACGGTCTTGGAGCGCTGGTTCTTCGGCGGCATGGTGCAATGATGAAAAGAAGGCAGACTGAGGAAGTGCCGAGCACTGATGATAGCCTCTGAGGAATGAGCTGCCTGGAAACTGAGCACCCCAGTATTAAGTAGTTGTGTGTCTCCGCCTGGATCCGGTTGGAAACGCTCCTTCGAGAAATGATGAGTTCTCGAGGAGCAAACTTCGGGAGTTCCGCGCACAATAGTCTGAATAATAGGCTGAGTCGCTGGTGTTGTCGATGTTGGCGTTGTGTAGATTAAAGAGCAGTGTAGATCCTTGTAAAGCGTTCTTGATGCTGCCTGACAAACACCAGGGTCGGACGCCTTGAAGCTAGAAGGACCATTGTCAGCAAAAATGACATGGCATCTAGATGTAGCGAAACAGGCGAATCCAGTGGTTACATTGGTTGTTTGAAAAGACTGCTGTAACGCAGACAATAGATTAGCAGACCGCGATGGAATCCATGGCGGCCTTGGTAGCTCCAGATCCAGATCCATCGCATTGCAGTCTTCTCAAACTTAATATACGCATTGATCAAAAAGGAGGCTTGAAGAAATCATTACGAGTGACATAGTTTAACCTGAGAAAAGTGTACGCAACCTGGCATGCACCTGAATAGCGCGCCTCGAATAAATTGCATGCACCTGAAAATGGCCGATTATCGGTGTAATAATGCAAAATCTGCGACCTTGCCATGTGAGAAGACTGTCTGGGAGAAGGCAGTTCCGCTCGTCGCACACAATCGCGCAATCGCGCAGCTCACACTTGCTCACTCCGTCCCTCCCCTCCCCTCCCCCGCAGCTCACATTTGCTCACCCCCTCCCCTCCCCCGCGGCTCGCGTTTGCTTTATTGGGGTGATCGCGTAGGCGGAGGGATGCGCAAACTTGGTGTGCGACGGGCGAACACCCGATCTCGAACACCCCAGCTAGAGTGTTCGCTTGAATGTGGATCAGTAATATCCTGTACGTGTACAGATTTCTAATACCGGTATCTTCAATATTTATCTCAACAAAAATCAGGCTACACTCTTTCAAGTTAGGGCATGGAACACAAAGATACTAGTGA